CCCACAGCCCCACTGCCAGGGGTTGGCCCCCCCGCACAGCCCATAGCCCCATTGCTGGGGGACAGCCCCATGACACCCAACCACCCCATTGCTGGGGGACAGCTCTCCCTACACCCTATAGCTGGGGATGAATCCCACGTACACCCCATGGCTCCATTGCTGGGGGACAGCCCCACACATACTCCACAGCACTCGCACAGCCCACAGGGAAGGGTCCCACACCGCTCACGTATCCGGGGGGGGGGGGAACCCCCGGGCGGGGGGGGGGGGGGGGGGGAGGTGTTGCACTGCATTAGCTGAAAGGAGCCCTGAAGGAGGAGGAGGAAGAAAGGGCAGGGACTTTAAGCAATTTCGCTGAAGCCCGTCGGGGTGTCTCCACATACCCTCTCCCACCCGGTGCCCATCCCTGGGGTGCAGGAGCATGGCCACACCTGCCTTCCCTGCCTCAGTGAAACCCCACGTGGGCTCGGCGAGCCCAAGCCCTCCCTCTGTGCCCCGTTCCACCCCACAGCTGCACTTTGATGGCCTTGCTCAAGCCGCACAAGTCCCTCAGACACTCCAATAGTTGGTGCTAAAGGTGTCTTTCCTCCTGCTGGCTCACCCCAACAGCCCTGGGGGCATCAAGCCTCCCACCGTTACCAGCCTCATCCTTGTGGCAGTATTTTACGGGCTGCAGAGGATGGGAATGCAAATGCTCCCCGAGATCCAGGGCAGTTCCCACTGCACCCCTTCCCGGGAGAGGTGGGCAGTGAGGCAGACAGCATCGTCACCCCCTCGCTGCCTGCCAGGCTCTGGGCGTGGAATGGAAATATCCCTGCTCCACGGCTACTTCCCTTGTACGGAATTGCTCTTGCTGGTTCTCATCCTGTGTTGTCACAATCGCTTCCCCTCCCTCTGCAAGCAGGCCTGGCATTTCCGGAAAACCGGGGAAAGAGGTGGTTTGAGAGCCGTCCCCTCCCTCTGCCCCCCCTCAGCACAGGGGCAGCCCCCAAGTTGGAACGCCCCTTTGCATTCCTCACTATACTTCCTGTATATTCTTCACTATATATTAAAAAAAAGCAAGCGTAGCACTCTAGAAGAGAGATGAACATGTAAAAAATTATATATATTTTTATATATATGATTCATATCTATTTACAACATGGCTGGGACAGCAGAACATCCAAGGAGGTTGCACAGACACTGCCGGCGCCGCCCCGGCCAGGTCAAACAGGGTCTGGAAAGGTGACAGAGACCGAAGCACGGACCCATGGTTACAAGTGGGCAGCCCCCAATCCCGCTACGCTCCTTACCCGCTCCGCAAACAGAAAACTGTCCTCCGCAGCCACGGGGCTGGCAACGGAGCCCCTTGCTCGGAGTGCCCTGATGAGCGGAGCCGCGGCTGGCTTACTCCAAGCCACCTGAAGGCAGACACAAGCATTTGAGCACACCCTCGGCACTCTCCCGGGAAGCAACACCGTGTTCCTCGCTCCAGCCAGCGGCAGGCAAGCGCAATGAGTAAACCAGGTTCTCAGGAAAGCCTGCGCCAGCCGGCCAAGAACGCACGTAAGGAAAGCCGTGCCCTGCCTTGGATTCCCCTGACCTGACGGGAACCCCTAAAAAAACCAAACAAAAAACCCCCAAAAAAGTCCACTCGGCTTCCTTTTGCCCACATGCCTTCAAAACTGGGCCTTAACCGGGCAGGTTTAGTGCTGCCCTGGCATGCCGAGACCTTCCGCTGCACAGGACGGGAGGCCGCTTCATCTCCGCTGTGTGAGGAGCGGACAGTATATGCACCGATCACACAATATATCGATGCATGTATGTCGATCTGCAGGCTGCAGCCATCACACCAACCTTTTGTTTTGTTTTTTTGGGGTTCCCCCCCTACCCAGGCCTGGAAACAAGAAAAGGCAAGAAGAAAAAAAAGGGAGAAAAAAGAAAGAAATCCAAGCTTGGGGTGCCTGACACTGTCAAAACAGATTTGCCTCTACGCTCTTCTCTTCCTAATCTCCATGCTCTCTGCCTCCGGTGCTTTCTTCCCTTCCAGGGTGGTTATTCCCAGTCCTGCCTCTCTCCCTCCGGAGATCGGCTCCAACAGCTCACATCTGCCTCACCGGCTGCTGCCGACCCCCGCTTTGCGAGCGCCAAAGTCTGGGCATCAGGCAGGGGCTGTATGCGACCAGACAGGGCTCTGCCTGCCTGCCTGGCCACTCGCTCCTGTGTCCCAAGCGCCCTGCTGCTGGTGGGATTCAGCTCACCACCTTCCGCTGCCTACCCGGCAGCCGGGAGAGGAGCCGTCTCTCACCCCTGCCAAGGCAGACAGCCTCGCTGGCCAGAACTGACCAGGGAGAGAAACTGTCCCCAAACCCTCTGGGGCAGCTGTGAGCCTCACGCCGTGCCCCACCGTCACAGCCACACTCGGATGCAGGTGTGGTGGGGCTCTAGCCCCGAAACAGCAAACACCTCATCACAGCTCCAAGCCACGAGGACTGTTTCAAACACTTCCCTGCCACTCTCCTGCAGCCGTTGGATGCGTCATTCCCTCCTGTGAGCTCAGCTGCTTTGTGCAAGCAGGGGACAGACCCCAGGCAGCTCAGCCCAGCAACGCAGCCACGTAATTTTTTGTATCAGCTAATTTCTTCACTTAGAAGCTCTAACACACGCACACCTAACTAAACTTCCAGATCATGTATCGCACCTTTTGCCCAGCCGAGTCTTCCTCTGCAGACACCCGACGCCTGAAAAGCATTCACACACCACAGCTCCAAGCTCTCCCCTCCTACCTGGTGCCAAGCAAACAGCAACTCCTCTGAGCACTTTCCTGCTTCTCCCGGGGCCGCTCGACTCTCCCAGTGAGGAGGCAGCGCTTCAGTGGCTCTGCAAGTGAGGATGGTCTCAAACAGCATGAAAATTAAGGCAGCAAACCGACTCGCTAAAAGGAACGGCCCAATCAAATCTGCCTGTGCATCCCGGGCTACTGACACCTCTCGCTCGCCTTCTCAGTTTTGGTGTGTGTTCACTGTAAATACTCAAATAACTATGTGGATTCTGGTGCTCCCGTCCCTATGGTACAGTGAAGTTCAATCCATTTAGCCAAAAGAAAAAAAAGAAAATAGGAAAAAACCCAGCCTGTGAGCGCAGGCTACCCTGCCAGCTTGCTGGTTACAAGCGAGGATTTTCTCTGCGGGAGGTCCTGCGGCGTGGGGATGTGGTCTCCTGTCACCAGGTTCTTGTCTGGCCCCGCACTCGGCAACTGCTTGTTCTTCATCTTTGCCTTGGCCATGTTGTAGTCACCAGAATCAAAGTATTTTTGCTGGAAGAGGGAGAGGAATTTGGGTTACTTTGATTTGCAGGAGTGTGGGGACATAGCAGAGATACAGACAACTGGCCACAAATACGGTTCTTTAAGGAGCTGCTGGAGTTGCTCGAAACCAGGTCACCAAAACATCACACAAGGGGAAAATCCAAGGGAACCTGGCCCAATTTAAAAGGCCTTTAGCACCCACCCACAAACCCCCGAGTGACTCAGACCTGCCCCAGCTGGAAGAAGCTTGGCCCCACAGCAGCTGCCTGTCTGACTCGAGACACCAGGGTGCGTTTTCTCCCTTTGACCCACCTTTGGGCGTTGGTAGCCTGTGAACTTTCACTGCTTGGCGTGGCGCTTGCTGGGCAAAGAGCAGGTTTGTCCTGGTCTGCCCTTGCATCCCACTCAGTGTGACAGGGATTCAATCCCGGTCCAGAGATCCCCAGACAGCCAAACGCAGGCACAGCCACGTCAGCAGACGTCTCCAAGGGGAGGCCCAGCTACAGCGGCAAAGCCAGGGGACATTTGCTGATACAGTTTATTCTGGTTTGGTGAACAGATGAGCCGGTGTGACAGGGGCAGGATTTTCTCCCCAAGGAGCACAGCCTGGCCGGTGCCAAGGCCTTCGCTGGACCATCCAGGCTCCCAACAGCCGAAATGACGCAGGGAAATGCCTGCAAAGACGTGGCCGGAGGACACCTCCCTGCTGCACAGCACCACCGACCCGGGGTTCAAAGGGCATTTCACTCCCTTATCCCCTTATCATGGGACTCTGTGCTCCTTCACGGTGCTGCTTCACCCCCCGCAGCGGTGTAGGAAAGGCTGAACACCAAAGCAGAGCTTGCGCTGGTGCTACAGACAGGGCTTTGCTGGGCAGACAGAGCTCTGAAGAGCCCAGTTCTGCCCTGATGCGCCGTCATGCCCCAGTGAGCCCCGTCCTAACCAAGAGCCCTTCCCCACTTCAGCACCAAGCCATTAAACAACCCTCCTTTCTGTGCTTGCTTTAGGAGCTGGTACCTAAAACAGTCCTGGTGATCACGTCAACAGTGAGAGCACGTGTGCACGGCAGCTGCTCAGGCAGAAGGGACTGCTGTCAATGCAAGCTGAAAGGGAAGCAGCAGGACAGAGCCAAACCCCGTGCAGTGTGACACGGAGACACCGTGTGTTCAGAGCTGGGGAAGGCACGCGGCCACTGGTTGCCAGCAGTTCAGGAGGGATTTATGTTTTCCGCACCAGCCTCCGCAAGGAGGAGAGCCAGCAGTGACAACCCAAGCAGGCTACAGATGGCTGGTGGAGAGGGATTTAATTACATTTCCAGGGAGCACAGTCAGAGGGTTGGCTTTTTACACTGGTGCCAGCAATGGAGACGCAGCCAGCTGACTCACTGGCATTCTCAGTGCCCTTTGCACCAGCCCAGAACCCAGGCAAAGCGCAGACCAGAGAGAAAAAACTCGGGTCTGCAGCATCTCAGTGGCCCACTGAACCCCAGGGAGCACAGCAGCAGGCAGGGGGGGATTTATGGACTTGTTTCACCTCTAGACCCCAGGTTTCGGGCCAGGGTGTGGAGGACAGGGTGGGACCCACCGCTGGGGGAGATACGCAGAGCAAAACCACCTGAGAGGCAGCAGCTTTTGGGTTCTGAGCAGGCACAAGCCCTTCTTGCTTGACCACAGCAACCCTCGCTGCTTCAGGTTTGTGCCCGCTGGGTGCCACGTCCAGCGCAGGCACCGAAAGGAGCCTGCCCCTGGGTTCAACAGACTTTTTGACCTGGGGAATTTTGGTGTGATTCCTCTGGCCTGGTCAGAGCTTGGCTGCCTGTGCCATTGAGGGAGAAGAGGACGCAGACGAGCCGTGGCTGAGAAATAAATACCCCTTTCTGCAGTCTCTTCATGAGGAAGTCGGAGCCTCCGGGCTTCTGGCCTAGGTTGGGGTATTTGGCCTTCAGTTTTGCCTCTTCTGCTCTCTCAGGGGTGACGGTTTCCTTCTCTTGCGCGTCCTGAAAAACAAAGAGGGGGGTGGAAAGCCCTTCAGCCCCACAGAAAAACACACACCTGTGATGCCGTAACACAATATTCAGCAGCACGTCCAAACCCCGGCACCTGGCTTGCCGAGCGAGGTGTGGTCCCCTGGAAAACCCAGACGCACTCGGAGAATATTATAAACACTTTCCCAGCCACAAACAGCTTTTACCTCCAGTACCTGTGGAAACAGGCTGAGACAGACCCTCTCCCTGCCTTCTTCCCAGATGGGAGCCCCTGCAGGCTCTTGCGCTGACATTTGGCTTTGCAAACTGGGCTTAAAACGTCACTGCAAATCGCTGCTGGGCGAGCACCTTCCCCAACCGGCGACAGGTCAGACCAGCATCGACAAACATCAGTCCAGAGCTGCCCAGCACGACAGCCTGCAGCAGCACTCTGCGGTGCTGGGAGGGTTCAGCCCTGCTGCGCCCCGAACCTTTCTGCTCCAAAACCAATTTATGGGGAATGACAACCGGCACAGGCAGCAAAGCAGCGTTTTACCGCGTTTCACAGCCACAGGAGTTTCAGGACGTTCTGGGAAGCCACCCAGCCTGCCTGAAGCCTGGGACCCCTGGGACTGGTTGCAACAGGAGATGCCAGGTCCTGGTTGTCACCCGGCCCCTCTGCAGGGGCTTTGAGACAGCCCCCCCAACCCAGCTATTGAAGAAGCATCAGCTGAGCAATGACACCCAAAGGGAGGTTCCCAGTTCAGGGCTTGGGATCTGCTCCCCAACCACCAGCCTCTCTCTTCAGGGAGGCGCGTTCCCCCCTCCAGGGGAGGGCTGCAGGCCTGGGGACAGGAGCTTCAGTCTGGGGTGGGAAGGAGACAGGGCCCCAGCAGGGCCTGGAGAGCCTCACCTGCGGCAAGGCCGAGTTCTGGCTGGCCGCTGGCCCAGCTCCAGTGGGAACACGTCACCGCTGGCCACCTCTGCCAGCAACCACCTGGGGCCAAGCCCCTGCGCGAG